TAAATTTAAAAACTATATGTTATATTATAATTATATTATTTTTATTTTTATTAATAAATAAATATCATTTTATAAATACAGAATTTATCAAGTCTAGAAGTAATATTAAAAAATTTAATTTTTTTAAATATACTAATAATTAGTATAAAAGTTGCAATCTTAACATCATTTGAGTTATTAATCTCGAGGTGCGTCGAAATTGAATGACGATAAAAATAAATAAATAAATAAAGCAGCTCTTCAATTTATGTCCACGAATAAAATTCCGTCTGCAGTCCCGCTTTGCCTTACTAAAAAACAAATTAAAAAAAAAAAAAGGGAAAAAGAAAAATGCTCTTAGCTCCGCATAATGTTGGACTCATAAGAATGGATGTGTCAGAAACGAACTTAAATTCCAATTCCCATGATGTGGAGACTTTCCCCAGTTGCATGATGACACACAGTTGCATGTTCGATTCGTGAGACCTTCAGCCACTTTTTCATCGCAGTACTAAATTCCGATGTCAGTGCATGCGCCTTTCCGCTTTGATACCCATTAACTGTTTGTTAAAATGCCGTACTGACATTTTGAGACCATAAAATTGCAGGTCAGTTCTGCTTGATGCCTGTCCTACCATTACTTGTCTGTTAATGCTTAATATATTAATTTGTTTCCATGTTTACTTCTCCAATTTTGCTTTTACTTAGTTGATTCTGTGATTGGTTAAATAAGAGTCGAACTAGAGTGCAAGAGCATAGATTCTGCCACTTTAACTTAATACTTTAACCAAGAATAAAGAAAAGGTATAACTAAGCTGTAAAGAGGAATGCCATTACCTATTTCCAAAAAAAAAAAAAAGAGAAAAAACCTGTAAAGAGGAATGGGTTAATTGGAAAATAAATAAGAATGACAGAGGTTCTCGTTCCCTTTCCCAAACAGACAAAACCGGGTTAGATGATCGAAAATTAAAATTAAAATAGTGAAAAGCAAAAACGCATGATATGAGTTCCGTAGTGAATGAAACAGAAGATTAACTAATTGGCCAAAATACTGAAAAGGAAAAACGCATGACATGAATTCCATAGTGGGTGGAGCTAAAGATGAACTAATTGCTCAAACCTTATTTGTGCCCTTAACATTATTATTTTTTATGATTAACATTTTAAAAAAATTTTATTCTAGATAAATATTCACTATAATTTAAAATCTATAAAAAAATTTAAATTATTGATCAAGTCACGTTCAAATTAGTGTTAATGTGTAAGCTACAAATAAAGGATTTAGCCAACTAATTCTGCCACTATCTTTTCTTAATTCAATTTAATTATTAGTTGTTGCATTTCTCTACCATTCCATAAACTAAAAGTAATCAACTTTGACTTCTGTAGAAAAACAGTTTTTAACCTGCTTCGACTAATTCAGCGACTTAAATAGCTTCACAAGGACACATTTCATCTCAATTTTTTTTAATTAGTTGAAACCTTACAGGAAAGGGGTGTGAGGGAAAATGAGAATTTGAAATTCCACTCATATGGGTGAGGAAGCACGTTTTTGTTAATAATTTGTCTAGATTACTCCACAAGCTTTCCTCACATTTTGTTACAATTAAAATCAAAGATAAACGGTATTTGTCATCTCCCAAATTTGCATTAATCTCATCGTTGATTCCATTATGCATTAAGCATCAAGCATTGTTAGTTATTTTTTTATATTTATGGTGTTGTAAATGTAATAATTCATATGAGTTATGAAGCATGAACTACCAAAATATAAATTAATGCTAAAAGGTTTTGAGGCAATGATAATGTAGGGGGTTTGTATCTCTTATAAGAATTCGGGTAGCTCATCTTGTCTCTGCTTGGTCAGTTAATTTTTACATTTATGGTTCTGTAACCATTCATATGAAGTATGAACTACACGTATGTAATATAAAGCAGTGCTTGTAAAGTCCTGACGCAATGATGATGCATGTGGAGTTATGCATCCCTCTGCAGAATTCGGGTAGCTCAGCTTGTGGCTGTCCTCTCTGGTGCCCATCGACTGTTTGTTAAAATGCTGAACAGACATCTGGTAACCATATCATTGCTGATCACTGATTAGTCATGCCTAATCCTTGCGTTACCACTATTTATCTGTTATGCTTAATTTATTTGTACTTCAATCTTGCCTTTGCTTAATTGAATTCTATCAGTTAGCTATACTAAGAGAAAGGAGTATCAGGTTATCCTCTGTTGTTTAAATAAAAAAATGCATTTTCAATAGGGGGATGGATTATGTCTTAATTTTATATCAGAGGAGGGGATAACGAGCATGTACCTTAACTAATTGGAGAACAAGCCTAGGTGCAATTGTGGGATACTGGGATGGATTATTTTTGTTTATATTGGGTGAGGGAGAGTTAATCCAGCATACATAGTCAGGGGAACATGCACCTTTGACATTACCAAGTGGAAAACAGCACCAGGTCCAATAGTCGGATGCATGGATTGAGGAGTCATGAAGGTGCAGTACTATATATTCAAACATGAAAAGGGGTTGAGAAGCATGGTTTACATTGATGTGGACGGTTTGACTAACAAGAAATGGTAGATTATTCGACAATGAGGTAATGGACACAGCAAGGATGTTTGATCTTATTCAAGGTAGAGCTTATCTATTGTTAGTAAATAGAGGGAAGGATAGGCAATGTTTCTTTTCAGATTGGGTTATTAATCCTAGAATATGCAGATTTTAAACTCAAGATAAATTTGGATAATCTGCTAGATTGATAATTTTGTATTCAAAATGTTTTATGGGTTTAAGTATCATTTATACTCACTAATAAAATTCCTTTTACATTTCAAAAAAAAAAAAGAGTCGGATGCATGGATTAGTAGCATATGTAAGATCAGTTAGTAGGGATCAGATGAGTACTTCTCCATAAGTGGGATATTCTTGGAGAATAGAAGAGTCAGAGCTGTTGGGCTTTTGGTTCTTTAATTGGGCTAGGGACAGACTTCTTGGGACAGACTAGGATTGTGTGTCCTGTTTCCTCTGTAATTTAAACTTCAGAGCAAATCAGCACTCATGAAGATAGACACCAAGAAAAGAACTGCAAAAATAAAGAAGACAACAAAAAAAGATAGAGAATCAAGAGACAATAGTGGTCAACGTCACTGTCTGTTACCACTCCAGTGATTGGAGGAATATTTTGTTTCTTACTTCTTTGAAAGGAATATTATTATTATTATTATTATTATTATTATTATTATTATTTTTTACTTTTTAAATGACTTTTTGTAATCATCAAAGGTATCTTTGTAGAAAGTTAGTAAACAAGTCGAGCTTTAACCCGAGGCTTGGTTATGTTTTGTTAGTGTTGTTGCAAGTAAGCTCTGCATTATTGGTTGAAAAAGCATGCAAATTTCAGCTTTTGAAATTTGGTTACATGGAAAATCTTGTGGGAGCAGATGTTATTGAAAAAATGGGAGTCTTTTTTGCTTGCTGGAACTTAGTCCATGAAATATTTATTGTGCATGATCAGATTATGACTTTAGAGCCAATTGCATTTATAGTAGGTGGTTGGTTTTTGGCTATAAAAGCCATTTGGCCATTCGGGCAAAAGAATCAAGAAAAATCCAAAAAGCAGAGTGAGCTCAAGAAAAAGAGAGCTGAGAGTGTTTTTGGGTGAGGATGAGCAAGAGCAGAGTGGTTAAAATTCTTTGTTGAGTGATTTTGAGTGTGTCTTACATTTGAAAATATTGTGAGTAAAGTTTAAGTGCATTTAGAAATTAAATATTTATGAGAGTATTATAAATTTTTTTTAATTTAATAATTAATTTATTTTTATAAGTGTTTGTAGACGTAAACTCAATTAATTAAAATTAAATCATGTAAATTCTGTATTTTTTGTTGTGATGGTGTAATTTTTATTATTCTATTAATTTTTTAATTTTATAGTAGGTTAATCAAAATTTCAAACAGTTTGCGTCAACAGTTAATATGGAAGATTCATAGTTAGAGAAGATAAGGATTAGTTAGCTGCATATATAATGGGCACAATAGTTCATCCCCTTTTTAGTTCATTCCTTTTTCCAATGTAATTGAGTAGAGAAGACAAGATTAGTTAGTGAAATTAAAATGATAAAAGCATACTCTGAATTTATCACTATCTGACATTTCAATCAAGAATTAAAAAACAAGGGGCGGGAAAAACTATAGTCAGAAATAGGTTGGCTAAAAACATGATAAAAAGACAGGTTCTTTGCTCTCTCGAATAAACAAGAGGATGTCAATGTAACGGAATTTTGTGGTAATTAAAAGTAAACCAAAAAATTACATAATGATCACTCAATTGTTTCAAAATAATTATTGTTTAATTTATATTTGTTTCAAATTAATTATCTTTTTTTATTTATTTAAGGCATATAAATTTATTTTTTTAATTTAATTATCTTTTTACTTTAATTATTATCTTATCAAAAAAAATAGTAGTAACTCCTTATGTTTGACTCTCTCTATTTAACTTTAATAGTATTAAATTAATTGTCTTTTTTTTTTTTCAATTTGTTAAGACAAACAAATATATTTTTCTTAATTTAATCATCCCTTTAATTATTATCTTGTCATAAAAAATCTATCTTTATTTTTTACACTCAGTCTCTCCATTTAACTCTGATAATTTTAATTTGGCCTTTTAATTTTTTTTTAACATGAATTTCAAATAAAAATTTAATAATTTATATAAATAATTAAAAATTATCTTGTCATAAAAAATCTATCTTTATTTTTACACTCACTCTCTCCATTTAACTCTAATAATTTTAATTTGGCCTTTTAATTTTTTTT